CGTTGGGGAAACTACCGTATGTGCCCCCGAGGAAGAACGCTCTTTTCTGATATTGAGACCAACGGCATCGACGTTATAGCCACTGGAGAGGCAGCGTGCTACCCTTATAGAGCTACTGCTACACCAAGTACACTCGACTTCGGGCTCTACAACGGATTCTGACAGAAACAGCTGAGAATAAGAAGTCTCCAGGACCTGCCCTCGGATCACCTCCCACTGCTGATTGAGCTTGAGGAGACTCTGAAGTATTTGGTTGGCACCCGCAAAATGCTCCCGCCGTGCTCTAACTTGGACGTCTACCGGACCTGCCTCGAGGAAACCCTAGGCAATGTCGCCATAAGAACGGCAAGCCAACTGGAGAGCTATGTTGACCACCTCACCGCGAAAATAACGGAAGCTGCCAGGCGTGCAAACGCAACTACTCACTCTTTCTCTACTCACTCTTTCAAAAGCTCCCTGCTAAATCCTGAAATCAGGAGTTTAATTGCCGACAAGAGACGTCTAAGGAGGCTGTACATCCGCTACTGAGATCCCTCTGCCAAGGCGGAAATGGTCAGTGCGTCCAACCGGGTCCGACGACTGCTGGCCAGGACCCAAAGCGAAAACTTCAACAGTTTACTTCCAGGTTGCACAGTGCCGCAAAGTGACTGAATCGCTCGAAGCGTCACTGCAGATGGCTCTTCCAATAAGGAGCATCTCCCCTGCTGAAATCGAGGCACAGTTAAAAAAGCTCGAGCTGAAGAAGACCCCCGGATGCGATGAAATTGATAACAGAGCGGCCAAGGCACTCCCACGCAAAGGCATCATGGCACTCGCGTTGAGCTTCAACTCATCGCTCAGGCTTGGTCACTTCCCGAAGCAGTGGAAACGCGGTGAACCGCTTACTCAGCTGGAATCCTATCGCCCTATAAGCCTGCTGCCGAAGCTCCCCAAAGTCTTTGAGCGACTCCTTCTACGTCGACTAATGGAGCTCGACGAGGTCACGCGCCTGGTCCTGGACCATCAATTTGGCTTCAGGAAGTCTCATGGCTCGAACAGGTCCACCGAGTAGTCAACCATGTACTGGAGACATATGAAAAGAAGAAATACTGCGTTGGAGTTTTCCTCGACGATAAACAGGCGCTTGACAAGGTCTGGCACGACGGCCACCTCTGCAAAATCAAAGCCCTACTCCTTGCGCCATATTTCAGCATATTGAGCTCATGCCTGGCAGGACGCACCTTCAAAGTGGCCGTCAAAGACCAAAGCTCAGATGTCAAAGATATTAAAGCAGGTGTCCCACAACGCAGGCCCGGTGCTGTTCACCCTGTACACAGCTGACCTCCCGACACGAGGACAAAGCACTTCATCCTAAAGCCCCGCGAAACTGCTGGTGGCAACGTATACGGATGACACCGCCTTCCTAGGTTCGCTAGAGTATCTGCAAGCTGCGACAAATGCAAAACTTGGACAGCCAAGTGGAACATTGTCATTAACTGTGCCAAGTCCGCCTTCGCCACTTTCACGCTTCGCCCAGACAGTTGCCTGGGGCTTCGATTAGACGGAGGAACCATTGAGAACACCTGCTCATTCTGTTACTTAGACGTCCAGCTAGATCGAAGGGTCATATGGGGATCCTACATCGCAGCAACGAGAGCTAAATGCTTGAGAAGGCTTCGAAAGCTAGACTGACTACTTAAGCCTCAAAGCAAGCTGCATGTTTCCACAAAGGCACTGCTTATGAAAACGATGATAACGATGATATCTGAACATATGCTATCCAAGTTTGGGGCACGGCGTCAGCTCACCAGCTGCACCGCATAAGGGTGGTCCAAGCCAAGGCTGCCATAGTACGTGACAACTGACGCCTTTGAACGCGGACTCCGCCTAACAAAGGTCGGAGACCAATTCAACTTCTTTAACAGCCGATACACCGACATGCTACTGCAGCACCCGAATGCGGCTGCCAGAGTCCTGGCTGACCCCATCAGAGAGAGGCGCCTCCGAGGTCTACACCCCGACCATGTACACATACACATTCAAGCGCGTCTTCTTTGAATTCTATCAATAGCATGGCAATTGCGATTGCTTTGTTTTTTGTCTTCCTATTTTTATTTGTTTTTATCTCATTAAGACTCAATTGGTGTGGCTGTTGGGTAGAGGCGGCGGCAAGTAGTGCGGTCTGTTGCGAGTTCGAACCCTACCGAGGAAGCTATATTTTCTCTTTTAATTTGTTTCTATTACTGTTGAAGCATACGAGCGCGTAGCGCGAGCTACATTTGGTTTTGGTAAATGAGGGTTCAGGGTATTCCGTAGTCAGTTGCTCCCGACTAGAACCTGATGTATTTGCTAATTTATTTTTATTACTGCTAAAGCAAACGGCAAAGCTAACAAGTCTCTCAGTTTTAAAGCTATCGTCGTTCCTTTTTCTGTTGCACGCAGTACATACATTTGCCGGATCCGGCTAGATCGGACCACGAACGTCGCTGTAAATAGCTTTCCTTAAGCCGATCGGAGCTCAGATCTTTCTTTTACCTTTGGTCCACCGTGGAGAAAGGTTGACTCAACAAAAAAAAAAAAAAGTAAGAAAGTGCGCCTATTTACAATCGCGCTTAACCTCTGAAAAACAGTATTTTCGGAAGCATCATTTTACTTTTATTAGAAAAAATTCTAAGTGCCCGCATTGATGAACCACTTCTCAGCCGCCAGTAGGTCGCAAATTAATTGAGAAAACAAAAAATAAAAAAAGTGCCAGACCCAATCAGGGGTAAGTTAGATTTTTGCTAGACAGTTTTTTGTTGAACCAAAAGACTAAAAAGCACTCATATTTCAACCTGTCTATTGCAGGTATGGCGCTTCGTAATATTCTCATCAACAAAATATAATGAGATATTATAGTCTTTCGAATTTCTGCAAGTAGCAGCGGCAAACATTTCTTTTTTTTTTGCCTGCCGAAGCCCAAAATATGCAGAGCGCCTGTAATTGTCTTCGTTAATTCGCCTTGTCGCAAATAGCTTAATCAGCTGCGTCCAGCTTTATCGCATCGTCAAATCTCGTTGCTTCGTTTCGTGCTCTCTAGCCTGCTCGAAAATGGGAGTTCGAAAGACGAATTAGTAAGAGACGATCGCCGTCGCCGAAACTCCAAAAATGAGTTGGAAATCGTTCCCTGATGGCTGACGTCGTCAAAGCAAGCTACGTTTATCTAGGTCGCGCAATTATTTTTTTTTTTTATAAGCGAAACGAAATCTTGTTTTTTTTTAGTGTTATATTTTTGCTGGAAAAATGAATAATTAGCTTAGCTAACAAAAAAAGTGAAAAAAAAACTGAATAAGTCCTATTGTGAACGCCATGGGCGTACTCAAGTCGCCTTAAGCGCATAATTTAAATTTGTACATTAGGTATGTGCGAGTTTCTTTTTTTTCTTTTTTTTTCGGCAAAAGAGTGCAACCGCATGGTCAAATTCTTATTCCGCATTTTTTTTTTCTTTAACTCCGTTTTTTTCTTGCCCTACATATTATTTTCATTGGCCTATTTTTATCTCTCCTTCTCTCCTTCCATGCTCCGAAATTCAGATCGCCATATTGCTGGTGAGAGCCAGATTTTAAAGAGAAAGAGAGAGAATACAAGTCACATGAAGTTCGAAAAATAATTTTGTTATCTAGTGCCTTCTTTTTTATTTTTTTTTCTAAATTTTTTTTTGTGTGCAATTCGAAGTGATTTTTTTTTCAGCAGATCATCGCACATTTCATCGATGGAAGCGCTTTCGGAGATGGAGTGAATGCATGTAAGTGAAGCAAAAAAAAAAAAACTCTTAAATTTTATTTTTCTTTGCACTTAATTTCCGAGAAAATCAAAAGAGAATGGCCTAATAATAATTTAATAGGTAATTTAATGCCGCGTTTAAGAGAAAAAAAATCGGTAAAGAGAAAACGTTAAGAGAATAATCTATTTCAAGTGAGCGTTACAGCTTTCGCTAAATGAATTAAAAATTTAAATGAATTTTTGTCGAACAAAAAAAAAAAAAAGAAAGGAATAGTTTTTACTTTTACCAATTTGGGTCATAGACCAAATTAGAACCTCAGCTAGAAAAATTCTTTATCTATGTGTAATATAAGTCTTTTATAAATTTTTTTTTTTTCTATTATAAAAAAAAATGTTTAATGGCTAAGAAAAATTGCGATTTAATTCCCCAATTCACCACAAAAATAAATATGTGTCACGAACTTATAATTATGTGCTACTTTGCCTTATTTATGTTGGAGCCATGCGTCGTCGGAATGTTAGGGTAATGTAATCTGTGTTGTTTTAGGGATCACCGACCATTTGTCTGGTCAAGCGGCCCCGGTGATCATGGTAGGGTGGGCAACAGTTGTCGCACTAATACCAGCGCAGAACAACAACAACATATACAGCTACGGTCCCTAATCAATCTAATACAATTTCAGTAACTCTGTAGATTTTTTCCTAACCCCCGTAGTTTTGTTGGTGTAATCGAACTAGACATTTTAATAGCACGCGAAATTTTAATATATAATTATAAGAGCTTGCGAGCAGGTAGCTTAGCCATTTATGAGTCAACACACCCCAGCCGACTTCACTGTGCCGGAACCAGCGCGTGCTTCGCTAGACGCTACACGGACATGAGCTCGCTTACATACGTTGTATGTTACACTATTTTCGCCGTGCTTCTCAGATACGAATAAAGTATTGTTATCATTATGAAAAAAAATAAAACGTCGGCGTGCCAACGCTGTTGTTTTCCCGAATTTTCAAGTCAACAAACTGTAATGGTACGGCACTTAAAATCTTCCTTAATTTAAAATTATTTAACTGCAAGAGCAATGTTTTTTGCTTATTTGTGGCCCATATGTATCCAAAAAGTTGGTTTGGTAACAGATACAACAAATATTTGGATTAGTTACCTAAGTAGTATTATTTGAATAATAAAACTCCAGTGGTTGGGTAAAGATTGAATTATTATGTAGAATATTGTAAACAAATTTAATTAAAATTTTATTTACCTTACGGTTAACTCGATCTATTTGACGGTTTTGATTTTCTAGCTCTGAGCCCATATCCAATGCCATGTTTCGGAGATTACCTATCATTGTATTAACCTGTCCCACATTTTCTTCCATTTCGTCCTCTCTTGCATCGTTTGTTATTCTAAAATAGAAAAAAAGTTTATAAAATTGATAGTGGAATGATTTTATTAATAGATTAGGCAAAGTACGAAATGTCAAATTATCTTAAACTTGATTTTATATAAGAGACTTAAAACACTACCATAAGAACGAAGGAGAAAGTGAGAATATCTTCGGCACGGAAGATTTAATACCCTTGTAGACATTTACCATTATATAGTATAACGGTTTTGCAGATATTTCATAATGGTGACGATCATTAATGTTGATTTTAATGAAAATAGCTTAGAAATTAGAATGTTGCCACAAAAAAGTCGCCTTACGACCGATTCCTCCTATAACATAGCCTTGCCACCATGATAGCATTTGGTTCACGAATAAGCATCATAGTATAAATAGCAAATTCTGTTTGGTCCAAATATTTTGAAAAACCAAACAGTGGTTCAGAAGAGAACATACTTTCAACTAATCGTTACGATGACAGCTATTTGATGTTTAGGGTCCGATGTTGACAGGATTTTGCATTAATGAAGGAAGCATATCATTGAAAAACAAAATGTTTTTTATACCTACTTTTCCACCTACTTTTCGATACTTGCCTCTACCCAACGCCACTCCAATTATTAATTTTAAGGAGAAAAAAACGAATTAAAATAGCAATAAAGAAAGCAGTACAATCGCAATTTCACAGCTGTTGATAGAATACAGCAGACGCGCATGAATGTGTGTGTGCACACAGAAATTCTTGGAATTTGCGTTAGCTGCCGCAAACACGTGGGCAGGCAAAACACATTTTCTTATCCGATTATCGGAAACAAACTCGCTCTGCGCATGAACATGGCTAGATCAACTCGGCTGTTGATATTGATCAGGAATATGTATACTTAATGGGGTCGGAGATGCTTCCTACTGCCTGTTACATACATTTACATTTGCACAAATACATTATACCCTTTTTATACCCTGAACCCATTAAAAATGGGTATAAGGGTATATTGCATTTGTGCAAAATCCAAATGTATGTAACAGGCAGAAAGAAGCATCTCCGACCCCATAAAGTATATATATTCTTGATCAGCATCAATAGCCGAGTCGATCTAGCCATGTCCGTCTGTCCGTCCGTCCGTCCGTCTGTCCGTCCGTCAGTCCGTCCGTCCGTCCGTCCGTATGTATGAGCCAAAGGATCTCAGAACCTATAAGAGCTAGAGACTTGAAATTATAGATGTAGATACTCCTAGCTCCCGCACAGATCGACTTTGTTTCCGATAATCGATAACTTCCTCCGTTTCCAAGCAATCGCTAAAAATCGATATCGACATCCTGTTTTTTTTAGCAAATTGGGTAAATAATAAGAGCTAGAGCCACCACACATGATATGTTGCTTCTAGAATATTATAGATATACAGTAGAAACCAAAGTTATATGCAAATGCGCAATTGAATGGGGCAGCAGCTTTAAGAATTTCTGTATACATGTACACACACACACATTCATGCGCGTTTGCTTCGCATTCTAATAGCATGCTAATTGCATCTTTTTTTTGTAATGTTATTTTAGTTCCTTTTTCTGCTGAGTAGAGGCATAGCAAGTGGTGCGGTCTGTCGCGAGTTCGAGACCTACCGGTGTGGCTGTTGAGTAGAGTCGACAGTAAGTAATGCGGTCAGTTGCAAATTCGAGCCCTGCCAAGGGAACTTATTTTTATTAATTTATTTGGTGTTGGAATAAGAGGTTTCAAGGTATCCCCTAGTCGGGAGCTCCCGACTAGAACCTCTTACTTGTTATGTATGGGTTCAGAGCATTAAAAGAAAATAAGAAAAGAGTGCGGATTATGCAGTTAAGATCGTAATAAATACTTAAACATTCGATTTAAGCAATGGATGTATCGATATAATAAGTGAATGTATCGATGTTTAAAAAAACAACATCGATAAAGAGAGGTAAGAGTCTCGACACATGTTTAAGCTGTTCAACCGAATGAAAATTGAGAAAAGCTGTGAAATAAAGATATGAGAAAAGAATAATAGAAGAGTGTGGAGTGGAGTGTAGAGTATCAGGTGTGGAGTTTGTACAGACCTTTCGCTAATTATTCGACTAATGCAATGTAGCGAAATTGTTTGCAAAACCAAATCGGAACTAAGTACTATATTAAAAGGTTTTGCCGGTCACATTAGTGGAAGTGCGTCAATGCAACAATTACGTGCGGCAGTAAATTGTAAATTTGGAAAAGTTGGACAATTTAATCGATGTAGAGGTTCCAAACCATTTAGTGGAGACTGTGGCCTTGTTACCAGATTTCGAGACAAGCAACGCCGACAACTTGGCGCCGGCTTCCTATGAAATTCTGGGAAGAACCGTTATATACAACACAAAACTCGAACTATGCAATGCAGACCAATTATGTCACCGAAATGCAACATTTGGACCGTTTGGAAAAACTTTTTTTAGTGCAAACCCTTAGTCGAAAAGCTATTAATCCAAATAAAGCTAGTTGATCTCTGGAATCGAAAAATTATGACTACCATATCGAGCATAGGCTCGGAAGTAACATGTCGGACGTGGACGCATTGAGTGGGCAAGCTGATTTAGTAAATGATGAACATAGTAAAATACATTGATAAAACCGTAGCGATAGCCATGAAGAACGTAGTGATGAGCAAGGAGTTAACCGTAGAGAGCAGTTTAGAGATAACCATATTGACGAGTATAGAGATAACCATAGAAAGCAAAATAGAGATAATTATAGAAATGAGTACGTAGACAAACATAGCGATAGCTTGAGTGATATCTATAACAATAATCATATGGACGATCGTTAAGTGGCTTGGGGGAGAGACAGAGAAAAGTGGAAGTTGTAGAGCAAAAAGTAAGTAGCAGATATATTGATGAGATTGAGTTTTTAGAAGAATTAGCATTGAAAATCTTTTCCAGTTGTTAGCGTGGAAGGCGTGATAAAAAAATATATTGATTTGATATTGCAAAGTGAGGAGATGAGAGACCCACCCGTAGTTAGAACCCGTGAATTCTCAGAGAAACTGATGTGCTTGTGTTTCTTAATTGATCTTAATGAAATTTTCTACTGTATTGTGCTATAAAATATTTGTGGATTCTGAAAAAGTCAATTGCATTAAAATTGGGGTTTAAATTTGTGAGCAATAAAAGTTGGGTTATTAACTTGATTTATAGCTCTGGGGTGGTAGCGGGGAGGTGGCGATAGGTATGAAATGAAAGATACTTGAAATATCTATAATATTCTAGAAGCAACATATCATGTTTGGTGGCTCTAGCACTTATTATTTACCCAATTTGCTAAAAAAAAAAACAGGATGTCGATATCGATTTTTATCGATTGCTTGGAAACGGAGTAAGTTATCGATTATCGGAAACAAACTCGATCTGCGCGGGAACTAGGAGGACCTACATCTAAAATTTTAAGTCTCTAGCTTTTTTAGGTTCTGAGATCCTTGCGTTCATACATACGGACGGACGGACGGACATTGGTGCCGATCAAGAATATATATACTTTATGGGGTTGGAGATGCTTCCTTCTGCCTGTTACATACATTTGGATTTTGCACAAATACAATATACCCTTGTACCCATTTTTAATGGGTTAAGGGTATACAAATGTTTGTGTAAATGTACACGTATATCCACCTATCCCTCGATTTACACGGTTTCGCTTTAACACGGTTTTCAAATCGCAACAAAAAATTTTTTTGTCTTATTCTCATAGTTTTATTTGTATAAGTTTGCAAAACACATGGTAAATATTAACTCAATCACAACAGGCCATTCACATTAAAGTTTTTTTAAAGAACATTATGCTTGAAGAAGAAAAAACTTTAAATCCATTTGATGAATTGAATTTGTTCGTTTCAGCAGCTAAAAATTAAACTAGTATTATGTTAGCATAACATTTCAGTTACATATTGCCCTGCGAGGCAAGCAATGTCATTATTTTGTTTTGTTTGGCGCTTCTCGCATGTCATAAAATAGCTCAATCTTATTTGCTGTTAACTATCTTGCGCTTATCGCTTTGCGCTCATCGTAGTTTCTGTTATCGCGCTCTTTTACCATTTGCACTTTGTCTTAAGCTGCTAGCGCATCAATGTATGTCTCGTATGTTCGCTATATCGGATTTCTTATCGATCGCTTCGTTAAAAATTGTACATTTTCGCATATTGTCAATACGTTCGCTATAATCATATAAATAAATCAACCCGTTGCATGAACTTATAAGAAAAAGTGGAGTTTTTATAACATCCTTAACTTCTCGCTATTAAGTGCTAATAAAAAAGCTTGTAAGCCCAACAATTTGGTGGCTCCGACGTGATTATTTTATTTAACATTATAGTGTTGCATAAAATTATTTAAATTAAAATTAGGCTAGTTGTTACTAGTTTCGTCAGCAATTAAAAACCGCTCTTATAAACATACATATGTACGAGCAAATGTCATGCGGTAAAATGCAATAAAGAGGAGTCTGTATACATACTTTCGTGTGCAGTTTAAATTCGGTTTTCTTTGACATTTTTATACCCTGAACCCATTAAAAATGGGTACAAGGGTAAATTGTATTTGTGCGAAAGCCAAATGTATGTAACAGGCAGAAGGAAGCATCTCCAACCCCATAAAGAATATATATTCTTGATCAGCATACATTGCCGAGTCGATCTAGCCAAAATATTTATGCTACCATACATTTCTGAAAAATGATTTTCGTTATTGTTATTGATATACTTAAATAATAATTTTTAATATACTTTAAAAATAAATGAACATACATTTTTTCAATATTTATTTAAACCTTTTTCAAAGCTTACTTAAGGAATTATAAACAAAAACACATGCTTTGTCTTTGTCAAAATATTTTTGCCGTCGACTGCATTTCAAAATAAAAAGAAATCAATGAGAGAATAATGAACAAATAGCCTCTGTCCACTGAACACATTTCTGAAAATGTCACTTTTTTGCAAAATGTGTAAAATGCGGCCTGTGAGTTTCCCCATAAGAAAACACATT